CAAGTAATGGTCGGCAAAATAAAAGTACTTGGGACTGCTGATTAGTGAGTATTTTAGTAAAAGAAAATGATTAAAAGAGAATTTTTTGTATTTTTTATATAATATTTATATCATTTAATAATTAGTTTTTTATTTTATTAAATTCATAATATTATTTATATTATTTATATTTATTTATTTAATATTATATTATATTATATAATTAACACTGTAACGTGACATTATGTGTGTAGCGTTACCAAGTTAAAATTTAGAGTAATGATGGAGGAGACGAAAACGGGAGACGACAGGTGATGCAAGGAGTCAAATTAATAATTGCGCCAGATGCATAAATCTTGCATCACTTGTCGTCCCTCATTTCGTCTCTTGTTTTCGTTTCCTTTATCATTACTCTAAAATTTATAGCTTACCAATTCTATTTTAGACTTCAGTTATTCGATGAGCTGGTAATTTTTTGTTTAATGAACAACAAATTCTGGTGACATTAAATTAATAAATTCATATTAATTCGTATATCTTTTAGGGTAAAAAAATATTTTGAATAAATCAATTACTTTTTTTTTTTTACTAAACTCGGATATATATGCTCATGATGACACAGTAGAATTTCTCAAACAGATGGCCAGACTTACTAACGGCTTTTTTCTTCTCTTTGTGTGGAATAGTCAAGGCAAAAAAGGCAGAATGCAACAAACAAAAGCAAATTGGTAAATGCCACTTCTGTTTGTACACATTTATATGCATAACCAGTGTCGGAGAGAGCCGGCTGGCCCCGTGATTAGCGGGATATTTTTTGTCCAAACAATTTGAGGCATCATCTACTGTAAGTGATTAACCAATCAATTGAGCAGCTAGTTGAATCAATCAATCAAAGAGTACAAGACCGTAACTTGATATGAAGAAATCCAATTCTGTTTACATATTCCAAACATCAATCAAGACTTTAGCCGTATGAAACTTATTGACCAACAAATCTTAATTTGAAATCTATATAATTTTTTTTTTCCAATTATATCAAATTATCAAATAAAAATCATTAGATATGAGATAACTTTTTATTTAATAATTTAAATTATAAAATAAGATTTTTTTAATAGAATTTTCACACAATCAAAAATTTTTTTAAAAAAAAGTGAGCCTCATTCTCATTTATAACAAGTGTAAATGTATATGTTATCTACTTTGGATTAGGATTTAAATTGTGATTATCTTATTATATAATTAGCATAGCTAGCATGGTACAATAATTATATTAAAGACCTTTCTATGAGAAAACTAAGGTAGCAAGAGCTCAAATAAAATTTAATATATATGTTTTAGATATTATCTTGAAATTATGACATGTTTCATCTTTATTTAAAAAAATTTAACACTATTATAATGTATCATGTTCTTGCTACATAAGAGTTCAATTGTGGAGTTTCTATCCTACATCAAATATAAATGTGTGAATTTAGTCAAATATATAAGATTTTGCGTAACTCTAAATTAATTAATTTTAAAGTTATGAGATATCATATTATTTTAAAAAGATACAATCTTAAATTTCAAAGACTAATCCATCAAATTTATTAGTCCTAGTGATCACGCTAAGAGCGGGGACAGAACCAATTCAACGACCACACCCGCTCCTCTATTCCTTCTAAAAAGCCTAGACACCAACTCCACCATGGAAAAGTAAAAGTAACGAAACTATAATAATGAAGAGAAAACCATCGGATTCCATTGCTTCCACAAAATCTTCCAGATATTCCTGATAAAACCCAAGTGGGGACCCTTTGATTAGCAAGAGAGAAACACAAAAACACCAAAAGGAGCGTTAACCGTGTAAAGACAAAACCAAAATAAAAGTGGCACCCCCCCAAGAATGAAAGAAAAAGAGCCACTTTTTCCTCTTTTCTTTCAAGAGTCACATTAACCACCTTCCATGGCTCCTTCCCCTCTATTTTCATTATAAAGATGCATGCTGCAAAAGATTAGGGAAAGTTTGTGTTGCAGGTAAGTAGAAAAGAAAATTTGAACCCTGAATTCTCCCCTGCCTCCACTAGGGATCGGGTCGCAAACTAGCCATATCAGTACAAATGCTGCTCCTTAGAAATCCCATTTCCCATACCAAAAAGTTCTTTAAGAGAACTCTACAAAGTTTCAAGTCTTTTTTCAGTAGCGAGACCTACCAAAAGCTTCCTAAATCATCTCCCTGCGAAATCCCGTACGGTTCTTATAGTGTCACCGGTGTTGACACGAATACTCAGGCGGGTTACCAAGACCTTGAGAAGTTCTACAGTGACTTCACTGAACGGTGGGATGGAGATAAAGAGAAGGGAAAGAGGAGGAACAAGAAGAAGATCATAATCTCAACTATGACAAATCAAGAAGCTGCGGAGGAATTCACAAGGAAGGACTACCAAGTATCAAAACTAGACGAAGTTCAGTTCAGAAGCTCTAGAGGATCATCATCTCCGGCCGCAGGTAAGAGGGAGGCAAAGAGTGTTTTGGTGGCGGAGAAGTTGAAGGAGCTAGAGATGATGGATGTGAGCAATGTGGATCATGTTTTGGACATAGAAGAGGTCCTTCATTACTACTCTCGCCTCACTTGCCCTGCCTACCTAGACATTGTCGACAGGTTTTTCATGGAAATGTATGCCGAGTTGGCCGGACAACCGGCAACTCCTACAACTCCGGTAAGTGTTAATTCAAAGCCTAAGTTTCGATCAATGGGAAGATGAAGTTTCATCATCTGAAGATTACAATGATTGAGGTTGTCATAGTTTCTTTTAGACATGTTAATTTCTCATTTCATTTTGTCATTTAATTGTTTACCGTAAATTTCTTTGGCTACCAGATCCTTGATATATTAATAATAAGTTTACATAAATGATTTTTGGTTATGTAATTCTTTCCCTTCTCCGGATTGGGAAGGGGAGGAAGAAACGAGTAATCATTAGAGTAAAGCAAAAGTTAAAGAACTTCATTTCTGTGGACATTTTTAATTCTTTAGAATGCTGAGAATTTTTTAGTTTTTAATTGGGGAATGCGGTAGGTAAAGAAATTAAATGTTCCTCATGCAATAATTTATCAAGATTAATGATAGAAAGTAAAACAAGTAATGGTCGGCAAAATAAAAGTACTTGGGACTGCTGATTAGTGAGTATTTTAGTAAAAGAAAATGATTAAAAGAGAATTTTTTGTATTTTTATATAATATTTATATCATTTAATAATTAGTTTTTTATTTTATTAAATTCATAATATTATTTATATTATTTATATTTATTTATTTAATAATATGTGAGTTGTATAAAAAAATTATACAAAAAATAATTTTTATATCATTACTTTTTGAACAAAAGATCATATTTAAGTATTATCTATCTTATCTTTAATTGAATTAAAAAAAATAAATTTCAAAACGCTACAAATTAAGACAACATCATAATCATTAAATCAATAAAATAAGGGTTTTTTAGTGTGTCTTTATGGCATAAGTTAATGATATATTTTTTATATGAGTTGTTATTGAAAAAATAAAAATTAATTTTTATTTAATTAATAGTTCAGTTAAAATGTTGATAAAAAAAACTATTTAATTGAAATGATTCTGCCACATTAATAATAAAATTAATATAAGTTTTTGTCATTTTTAATATCAATTAAAGACAAAAACTATTAATTATATCATTAGTCTAAAGGCATAAGGTAAAAAAATATCCATAAAATAAAAGTCAAATACTCGTGTAGTGAGAAAGTTGACCATATAAGGTAAGGTTTTGAAATGAATGGATAATAAACAAAGTGATTTAGGGATTTGAAATTCACCACACCTTTTGAAATTCATGTGTGGGGATTGCTTTTCAATGTTATATTTAAATAAACAAGTCCCTTTTAAATTGATGCACCGGGATTACTTTTCTTTGCTTTAAATTGAGTTCAAATGAGAACAGCGATCGTTCATCGAAAATGAAAATGCTCAAATATTGTTGGGGGCAAAATATGGATTGGACACGTTTGCTCTGTTTTGTTCATTCACTTTCATTGCTCGTTAGTTGAATTGATCATTCACAGCCAGTTCATTTCGGACAATGTTCATCCATTTTTTTCAGACAGTGATGCCCGAAGTTTGTGCTGCGAATACCAATGGATAACTTTCCGCTGATTTATATTTTCTTGGTAACTTGTATTTTTTTAAAAGAAAATCTTAATAATAATATATTTATATTATTATGTAATATTATAAAATTATAATTATAATATTTTATTAAAGACAGTGATATGAAAAAAAACCCTAACATGAGGGAACGACGGCAATAGTTAGAAGGGAAGCTTTGGCCCCCTCCCTCCCTCCCCTATCTGTCTTTTCACCTCATTTCTGTCAATCCCTCTTCTCTGCCTCTCTCACCCTTTCCTTTGACATTCCTTCTTTGCCTACCCATCTCCTCCATTGCTTCTCTTTTGGGTTTTGACCCTAAAATATTTTCTCCTATACCCCTCTTGTTCCCTTTCCACTCTTTCATTTAAGACAAATCTATCTACTATCATTTAGGATGTGTTTGGTTAAAAACAAACTCTCTCAAGAAAATTATTTTAGAAAAGTTATTGAAAAAATATTATATGAAATGTTATAAAGTATTATACAGAAACTTTATAAATTTTATAATACAATTTTATTGAAAATTTATTAGGATGTTAACTTTGTTATATTTGATAAGAAACTTTTTTTTTTTTTTTTCTGTGAAATAGGAAGATAGGATTACTAAATCTAAATCAGAATTATAACTAGAGTTTGGGAAACTTGGTCTCGTTCATCTCAACTTAGCTAGAAGTTAGCATAGAAAAAATTTAGTAGGAAAGGTTGTTAAAATAGTCCAATACAAGAAAAGTTATGAGAAACCTTTTCCTTTGAAAAAATGTAAAAAGAAAATTCTGAGTTAGGAATTATTTTAAGGAAAATAAGAACTAAAAATTTTACTTTTACTTTTTGTTTATTATAGTTTTAAGGTATATAAGTATCAAAATATCTTTTAAAAAATCCTAAAATGTGATGTTTCCCAAGAAAATTTACCAAACATACCCTTAAGACGGTTTTCTCTCAAGTATGTTAAATCCTTATTGAATTCTATGGGACAATTAAGGGACAGTAATTGGATTCGAAGGTGGAGATTGTGGGTTACATCATAGGTTGCAAGTGGACGAGAGTTTAAGATTTGTTTGGTTTAGGAAAAGACCAATGATGAGGGATTGCCACCTATTGAGTTATTTTTCTTTTCTTCTAAGAAGCTGCCAATTTTAATGAGATTTTTCTAGAATTTTGACTGCTTAATAAGATAATTTTTCTATATAAAATAATTTTTCTATATAAATAGCTCCATCTTTGCAATCCCTAATTACAAATAACTCTATTTTAAGTTGCTTAGATTAATCATGAATATAATTTAAATATGCAACTAGTGTTATAAGTTATCCTTCAATTGTTGATTATAATACCATAATATATAAAGATTATAATGTAATCTCTTTTCACATTTCAATAAAATCTCTATTTTCCATAAAACCAAAAATAATAAATTAATAAAACGGCCTATTTCAACCCAATAATATTGAACTCTAAGTTAAGACCGCTTACCTCCCATAGATTGAGTATTTAAACTTCACAAACTCCCTTTCCCCATTCCCCCAATTAATATGTAAATAATTGCTGTCTGTTTATAAATAAATAAATAAATAATAGATATTTCATACAAGATCTATCACCCCCTTAAGAAAATGCAAGTTAAAGCAATCAAGTAGGACACAGTAGTATCCATCTGCCTTCTAAATAAAAAGTGAAAGATAAATGACTTCATAATCAAGGTTTTTCCATAAAGACAAGCTGCATAAACATAAAAATTCTTATTATGGCTAACTTGCTTACTCAAAACAAGGTATTTTGATTATTGATAAAAACTCAATACACAAATTTTACAAACAATATAGAAAAGCAGACATTGACAGTGGAAAATGGATGAAGAAACGTAATACTGCTCTCACCATTCAATGCAAAAGGAACTGCTCACCCTGTGACCCAGATGATAATTAGCAGCTTACCAATTGTCTACCACCAGAGAAGAAATTCAACTCCTCACAACATCAAATGCCCTCAAAAATTGACACTAGATCAGACAATACACAAACCATACCATATTAGTTCATGGCTTTTATCAGCATTGCTTCAGGTTATCAGTTGCTGAATTATACCAAAACGTTATACTCATTTAAACGCTTTTGGAACTGAGCCAACTGGGTTTGTAGTTGCAGAATGCCTGCAGCCTTCTGTGAAAGAATGGCATTTAGTTTAGAGATATAGTCATCCAGCTGATTTCCAGGTTGGTCAGCTTGAACTAATAGGTTCATCTCCTGCACCCACAATATTTAATCAGAACAAATGTAAAAAAGAATAAAAAATGAGCGACCATGAGAATATCACTTACCTCTCTTACAATATCTATGGTCTCCTCAACTTGCCTTCTGTGAGCAGATACAAGATCTTCTTCCTCCTAGTAAAAAATACAGCAAATTTTCACTTCAGTCAAATAATAGAATGAAGTCATTTTACTATATCTGCACTGATGTTACCTTCAATAGAGCATTAAGATCATCATCTGAATGAGAATGGTTATCTTCAGATGCTGGGGCAGGGCGATTCACCCACTTTGCCAAAGTTTCACTTTTACGCCACTCCTCCAAAGATGACATTGGACAGTTCTGTACCTTGCTCTTCAATGATGTTTTCTCTTGGTCAATGGTGTCCTGACTATAATTAACATCATTCTCAGCAAGGCCATTTAGACCTCCTTTCTGACCCTTATAATAATCTGAATATACATTCGCAGCCAAAGTTCCCTCTGCCCTTCCACTAGCACCACGATCCACTTTGAAAGGTGGAGATGCTTCTCTTTCAGTGTGTTTTGACCAGCCAAATCTGGTCTTTTCATAGGGATCATCATTAACGGTATCCTCAAAGGTTGGATCAGTTGTTAAAGTTGAAGACAAAGGCAATGCAACTGAATCTCTAAGGTTTGAAGATGAAGACAGCAGATCCTTCTTAGAGCTGTTACCCTTTGATAGACTCTTCACTCTGGCATGCAAATATTCTTAATCAGATTGATTCAAACAAATGTAAAAATCACTTACAGCGGATATTTCTTATAAAACCTCATACCTGTCAGCATATCTTAAGGTATTAAGAGTGTGCTCGCAAGACCCTGAGCTAGGTGAAATGCAGGATATCATGACAGTCCGTGAGTCACCAACAAAAGAATCTCTAAGAACTTCAGTTAGCTTGCTTCCTCTGAAAGGAATATGACCCTGGTCATTGTCAAGGGCTCTGATGCATTCTTTTAAAGCAAGTAAGCTTTTATTAATTTCAGCACCTTCCATTCTGAAAAATAAAAAATCAACCAGTTAGAGATATTTTCTCCTTTTTTTTTTTTGGGAGGGAACCTGTTAGAGATTGAACATCACTAATAACCGTACTTAGATCATCACAAGAAAATTGCAGACAGAACTAGAATGGGTGCATTTCTGGCTGAGTAAATGACCCTTGAAGAGCCTACAATAGACACACCTATATAATGCACAATGCCTCTTACTTCAATTAAGAATAAGGTCTGGTTGTGTCTTATTAAATAACAGATAATCTCCACGCAGCTTCTTACCTTGTCTGTTTGTCATTATCAGTGGTATCTGCACCACGCTCACTTCCAGCAAGATCAATGAAAGACAGCTTTCCTACAAGTCGGGCAGGCTTTGTTTCACTGCCATCAGCTGATCTCTTTATGGCAAGTTGAAGAATAGCATGTGATCGTGACGATTCCTCATTTGCACCGGTAGTGCCAGTGCTTCTTGTAGCATTTCCTTTCTCAATTAATTCTTTGATTGTCTCAACATCCGATACCCTATATTCTTGCAAACCTACAATGCAAACCTGTTGTTTCCCATCCTCTCTCATGCAAAGCTTTCTGTAAAAGGAAACTTATCAGAGGATTATAAATTTTATCTAGTTTTTAAAAATTATATAAAAAGGGGTCACTTACTTCCGATCATTTAAGAGATCAAAGACTTTGCCCCCATATATCTCAAAGAAACTGACTAACAGTTTGAAACCTTGGTTGTGATATGTACAGTACATTAATCTTAAAATATCTTGGGTTGCTTTTAGGGGCAGTGGTTGCATGGTATAAGTTTTTCCACTTCCTGAAAAAGAAAACAGGATCAACTACATGGACATATGAACAATAAACAAGTTCTGGAACTGAAAAATATAATTATATTGAAGGGTTAAAATTATGTAAGAATGTCATATGTATTTGATAATTTTCCCTCAATATGCCCAGGAAATAAATGCGAATACCCCTTATAGGATTGGTTAATGCAATGCTTGCCATTCCAAGAACAAAAAGAGAAAATGTAAGAAAGTTAAAATAAGCCAAGAGCAGTAAATACATATTATAACAGACTATAAAAACATATTAAAAGAGACTATAAGAACATTATTTCAATTCAATGGAAAAGCGCGGTTCAAAGCTGCAGGACTGGACCTGCTTGCCTAAAAGGAAAACAAGACATAAATATGGGGAAGGAAATAGAATTATAAAGTCCAGAAAAACCTCTAAGATGGATCGAATTCTGTTGCTTAGAGGCAATTATAAAGAGAATAAGGTTCCTTGTCATATTTTCACTAAGACTATTTTTGCTAGCTAGAAGTGCCCTTGACCTATGATTCATAAAATATTGTAACAAGATATGTTCAACAGGCAAGCAAAATTAGATGGCCTTCTATGGGCAGAAAGAAGCAACCAGCAGGAAAATTCAAGATATCAAAAGTAGTGTTTTCCTCTCCCTTTTTTGATGAGACAACAAAATAGCTTTTTGGACCATTAGTGTTTTGGCCAAAAAAATCAGAAAATTTTAGTGCATAAACTCAGTCATGCAGCAACAGGTGCTGTCATATCACCTGTACAGATTAAAGGACCAAGTTAAATGCATGCTGGTCATAAGTGACCAGTTAAAAGAAGGCATGACTATAGCTAGAAAATAAATATACATTGAAACAGGTTTCTGGCAGCAAGCAAGTATACTATTCGTATACTAGAATCCACCAAACCATTCAGGCACTCGCACTTCCATAGTTTACCTAAGTTAGACATCTAGAAAGTTAAACATGAATCATAACTTCAGCTTCTAGGGCTTTCAGTTCAATTCAACCCTCAAAAAAAGAATTAAACTCTACATTTTAATAACAAAACAGTCCTACTTCAGTTTGTTCAGACTTTTCTAGTGTTTCCCAAAGTCATGCACTCAATCATAACTCTCTCTCTTGGTTCTTTCCTGGAAAGAGAAAATAGATAAAAGCCAACAAAGAAAATATTTTTTAAGTCTAATAAGCTAAAAAAATACCAATGTCAAAGTAGATAGCAAAATGAACACTAAAAGTTCAAATAAACTTCTCAAAATAGCAACAGTAAAGCACTTGCCTGTTTGCCCATATGCAAAACAGGTTGCCTTTGTTCGCTGGAAAATGAGTGGAACCAATGGCTGCACAGTTTCAGAATATACCTAGAACAACACGAAATAAAATTATTGCAACTATTGCCAATATGCAAAGCAGGTTGAGGCCTAACACATGAAATGTTAACCAATCCTCATTAAATACTTACTTCATCATTTGAAACATCTTCATTTAGCACAGCATCAAAAAGGAATTCATGTTTCTCAAGATATTCCGTCAGATCAACCTGCAAAAGGTGGTAAGTAATTAGATTTCAAAGAGAAGATGGTTACTAATTTTCAACTAATAATCCAACATGGATATACTAGACTAACTAAAGGAAGAAAAACATGAAATCCAAACGCTTTGGTTCCAGCCATTAATGTGTATTTTCTCAAGTCTTATAAGTAAAAGATTAAGTGGTCTGGAGCTCAAATTAGCTTGCATACCAAAGATATTATAACATTCACCTTTAGTTTTCTCTCGTGAACTGTGAGGGAATTAGAATTTGGTTCTATAGTAATAATGTCTTCCTCTTTCTTTGCTATCTCCTTTTTGTTCAATGGTCTTTTTCGTACCTGCAATAGAAATTGTTACAGATAAGATAGTGCACAGAATATGGTTTCAATATACAATATTGATTGTGAATTAAACTGCAATTTTTAATTGTTCTCATCTCCCATTTGCTTTGGACAAGAAATTATATCATCTTTTGCAAACCATATATCATCTTTCACAAAGGCACAGCAACATTCAAAACAGCCTTGGACAAACAACAGGGACAACATACCACAACTTTGATCTTAGCAACGTTGTTGGCTCTGTCTTTGTCCATTGAGAAACTTTTAAGAAGGTTGTTCTCAAGCAGGCCACGGGTCCTGCCTATTGCTTTGTTGGTAAATAAATATGGTTCAGAGTCATCAAAACTTTTACCACCATTGGGCTGATGAAGCGAGGATACCTCATATAGGCCAGGAACCTGCATCTAAATATCGTACTATTAAATACATCATCTACAAAAAAAGTGAAATTAAAAGAATGTTGGATTATTTCAAACCTAGTTCAATGACTGCTCCTTTTTTCACTCCAAAGAGGCAACCATGAACCAAAATTTATACAACCTTGGATTGTATTCAATAAAACCCATGGGATCACATACTGCAGTTAATTCCTCTTTGGGTTAATGGCATTTGACTAACAACATTCTACTAATTACATTTGTCTCTCAATTCTTTTTAATAATCTCAGATGCTGTGAGAAATATAATGCAGCTATCCAAATTCCATGCCATGTCCATACACCATATGTAAGACCATGTTTCTGCTTTCAAAAGCAGAACTATGCATACCATCATCAATGAAGCTTATGACCACATCCTGATCAAATAAATATTATGATGCTATGGAATTCCGTTGGGCTTAGCAAGTCCAAACATTTTTTTTTTCTTTTTTTGATTTTAGGTTGCACAATGGGAGGCAACACTCTAACATCCCATAACCCACCCCACCTCTGACTTGAACTCAGGATATCTTACTTCCACCTGAAGGAGATTACCACTTAGATGTTGGCATGTCCAAGTATTCTTAAAACAAAGCATTTGGTTTTAAATTTGAATTGAAACACAACAAAGAACACACAGTTTTCTGTAACAACAGGCAAACCTCAGGCAATAGCTCAGTATCGAAGGAATGCAGATCCAGCAACCCAGGGCTGAACTCACTGGGCAAAACGTGCTCGTCGCCATTCTTTCTCAAACTAGACGACCTCGAACTTACCGGAGGCGATTCCGGGTCCGGTGACTTCCTGCTCACTCTAGACCCCTGAACTCCTCCATAGTATCCAAAATCCTGTGCCACAAAAGCCAACGCTTAACTCTCACAAAATGCTAGAACTGGATTGAACGCGAAACTTTATTGAAATTCAAATGTAAAGAGAGCTAAGATCGAAGACCTGTGAAGAGGGAAAATTCGAGGACTGAAGCCATTTCGCGTTGAACGTGGAGTCCAGGAAGTTATCGGAGTATTGCCGATGGTGGTGCGCCGTGGCACTAGATCTCGCCATCTGTCTTCCGACGACGTTCATTCTCTCCTCCAAAATCACTCTCAATCCGTCCAAAGCAAACTATCTCTCCGGCTGTACAGAGTTACTTCCAAAGCTCAAAACCTTTATCAGGCCAGAAAACACAGTGTATAAGAACAGTGAGAATTGAGCTGATGAGAAGCTTTTAGAAAGATGCAGTAATGGAGTTGGTTGGATATTTTGAAACTTTCTTTTTCCTTTTTCCCTTTAAACAAACAGTCCTTCGGAGGAGTGAATTTTTTTTTGAATCTTTGAACCGGGGGGCGACTTTCGAGGTATATAGATAGCGAAGAGGCGCGTAGCGGCAGGGCAAGGGACGTTTGGCGGGGTCCATTGTGTTGGCTCCTGGTTCAAATATTATTTTGACTTTTACCTTTTTTTTTTTTGGTGGAAAAGGAGAACTTTTACTTTTGAATTTGGTTAAACCCTTAATTTAATCCCTTGATTATTGTATAGACTTTCAAATTAGTCCCTAAACTAAAAAAAATTTTTTATTTGATACTTAAAATTTTTAAATTTGATTCCAAATTAATTTCTCTATTAAAAAATTATTGATTCATCTTGATACTTGACGAGAGAACAACAAGTCAAAACCTTGATAAACATATGTTGACCACATAGCAACTAATGACATGGCAAAACAAAAATTTCCCTCCCAACTAATGACATGGCAAAACAAAAATTTCCCTCCCCCCCTTTTTTTTTCCTTTTTCCCTTTTTATTTCTTCTCCTTTCCTTTGCCCTTCTATGAACCCTAACTTTTCTCAACTATTGCAAAATGATAGCCTCTCTTCATGAATATTTATCAATTCAAACAAATAAAAACCTAAGTTTTGTAAATAGAGAATAGAAGAAGCAAGTTTCAGTAGGAATTTTATAGATTGTCCTAGATAATCAATCAAAACAAGTTATGAAGCAACACAAAGAAGCATTAGGATTCAAGAACTTTCAAGATTTATGAGAAACAATGGGTGAAGAATCTTAACAATGCATGAATTTCCATAAAATCCCTCATTCCCATTTTCCTTACCAATTCCCCAAATCTAAGATATCAACAATTGGTTCCCTAAGAAAAGAAAAGAAACATAGTTGAATCATCAAAGCAAGAGATAAAAGAAGAAAGCACAAAAAAAATTGCAAATAATCTTGAAAACTTGGAGAATTGAAGAAACCCTAATTAATTCATCAATTAGGGAAAAGAAAGAATCACGCCTAACCCAAGAATCCCCAAATCAAAATACACTCTCCTAATATACCTTGGCAATATTGAGATAGAAGACGAAGGGCTTTTTGTTATTGGAGATCTAAATGCTATTCTTCTTCCTCTAAGATGGTAGAAATGAAGTCGGAGAAGTACTAGCTAAAGTCTTATCATTAAAGATAGTGGCTACTACAACAACAACAAGTAGCTTCTTCCTCCCTTTCGTTCTTCCTTCCTTCTCCTTTGATCTCCTTCTTCATTCTCCAACCTTCCTTTATTCTCCTTCTCCGTTCACCAACTCAATCTAATCTCATTTTTTTATTTTGTTGGTAATTGAATAGGAGATCCAGCAAGAAATTTCATCCCATCAAAGTCTGATTTAGGGAGCAACCATAGTTTCTTAAAGTACAAGACTAGGCATGGAAGGTCAAAAAAGCAACAACATTACCAATCGACATCAAATACATTAGTGTTTGATAAAGACTATAGGGAGGTGGGCATCAGAGATTAGAGACCCAAATATGAATTGCAAGGTCTTGCATTGGTGTTAGAGTAGTGCTAGTGTCAAAGTTCTCAATGGTGTTGGAGTTAGAGTTCTCAATGGTACTGGTGTCAAAGTTCTAGACGGTGTTGGTTTTGGAGTTCTTGGCTC